AGTAACTTTTGCTATTTCATACAAAATTCATTTCAGAGGTTGAAGCCATGATTTTGAAAGTTTATAATGCACCATGCAATAATATATCTGCAGTCCCTAAGAAGATATTCTAGTTCAGGAATCTAACCAACCTGAACCAAGAGCATTATGGTAATTTTTTTGAAAAGGAACAATTTCAGGAATGGGAAACCTATGCTGTTGTATAATATGTCACTATCGTGTCCGCGATGGGTCGGACACGACTTCGCAATTAACAACAACAACATTGTTAATCTCAAACCTGAATAAAAGGCGATAAAGGTGTTCTAGTAGATGGAAAAGAAGGAGATATGTCTACCACGTGTCTATCATCATTCAAAAAGTTTTTTGAAAACTTTTATTTTAGTTATCAATATCTCAAAATTAATTCTCTCTTTCCCGAACCAGGATTACTATGACAAAATATGGAACAGTTTATTCCAGTCATGGATTTATTTCATGAGCCAAAATACACAATATACAAAGCATGCAGTTAAATTATATGCAAATGATGGCAATCTTTTTTGGAAATACAGTATGAAAGGGAGAGGAAAACAAACTTTCCTTCTGTACTGTATAATCTGATTGGAACTGTATCCCTCAAATGGCTAGGTTTCTTAAGAAAAAAAAAGTATTCATTGATGCCAGCAGGAACTCTTTTTTTCCATTTTCTACTATTTGTGGAAGGGCATTTTAGTTCCATTTGCAATGAGGATAAAAGAGATAAATCTTCTATCTCAATACAGTGCTTTATCAGTAAAGGATGTCCATACATCTGTAACTAATAACAATACTTAAAGTAGAACTAAATGCTATTCATTAAGCATAACAATCTCCTTATCTTCTGATTTCTTAAACTCTCTTCTTATTACTGAAGGCGGCCATTCTAAACAAGTTATACTCTGTGCTCCTGAGAAGAAAGATTAGCAATGAGAACATTAGTTCCACCCCCACCAAATGCCCTGTTATTATCCCCATTGTTCTCCAAATGCAGACTACAACACTTTCTGCAGCAGGAAGCCTTCTCTGTCCATGAAACTTTTCCTGAAATTTTGTAATCCTGGAAAATCAAGATTCAGAACCAAGAATGGACAACCAGTAACCACATTCAGGCCCCAAAACATCTGCAGATCATTTTGTTTTTAATTAAAATAATAGTCAACATCTATGTACTGTATTAAGAAACTGCCTCAACTCTATCCACCCAATAATATCACTACATCATTGAATAACCCTCTGTGGTCCCTGGAAGCTAAAATAATAATTTTAAAGGTATGACATCCACCCATCCCAATGAAAACGGTTGTCCACTCCTGTTTCTAAATTATATGGACAAGTTCTACCACAAAGTTGGCTAGCTATAGCACTGAGGTTCATTGTTATGACCAGTTCAGCTACTAGGTATTATATGATTCCTATAAAATTTCCAGTTAAAAGGATGTACATTATAGGACTTCTAGAAGTTTAAATCAGCATTTAAAAAATGAGACAGAGAACATCAGGCCAAAAATGGGCCTAATCTCCTCAATGAATTTATTACATTATCCTGTGATCCAACATCACTGAAAAGCAATTTTAAAAAAAGTATAATTACACAGAAAGAAGGTTTCTTGATGCAACCAGAAGCTTTTACAGTTTTCTAGAAATACACAGAATTGAATTAATAGGATTAGTGGCAGCCCATGGAAAACAAGACAGTGTATTAGCTTCTAGGCTGAAAGTATCAATAATAGTACAAGGAATTCTCAGGGTAAAATATATTACTCAAATCTGATAAACCAGAAATTTTTAAAATTTGACACTGGCCTTTACAGACAAGATTCAAACATTTTATTTGAACAAATTATATTTTTGAACAAACTAATGGCCAAGCTACTTATTCAACTGCACATTATCTTTATAAAAATTCATTGATAGTGTTAGGTCAGTAACAACTTGTAAGGCTCCTAATCCAGTTTCATCAGATTTGAAGACAGCATCCTTCCTTTGCTCCTATGCTTTTGGAGATATACAATATTTTTTTAATAATTGATTACTTTTTCTTTCAATTGTGCTTTTGTTATGATGAAAGTAATTAAAGATCCTACTGATTGTGCACGTTATTCTTTGTTCTCATTGTGAAACATAAAAGCTATAATTTTAATTGTGATCCTGGCCTGAAAATATATTGTCCTCAATAATTCAACCTGTGCAATCTGATTTTATAAAAGGATACCAAGCATCAGATAATATCTGATTATTAATCTGTCTATGTCAGACGTGTCAAACTCGCGACATCACGTGACATCGCGCAACATATCGGAGCTTTTTCGTCATTGCCGGCAATGGGGTGGGCGCAGCTCCGGTATCATGAAACCGGCCCGCAGGCCAGCAGTTTAACACCCTTGGTCTATGTGTCTGTTTTATTAATTTTTTAACCACTTTTCCTTGAGGAGTTCAAAAGGACATACATAGCATTCCCTCCTCCAATTTTTTAATAAAAATAACCTTGTGACAGATATTAGATATTCAATCTGATAAACTGAATTGGCAATTAGTTTTCCACTAGCTACACAAAAAGTTTTCAATAAGTGGAGTGTATATTTATTGAATGTGCTTTAGCTAAATATGTTTATTAATTGGATTATAATGTGGTGTTTGAATCAAGTAGCCATTGCTTTATATTAGAATATTTGGTATGCTATCTATTGAACATACTACATTTATTTAAAACATCCATACATTTCAAGTATTAAAGTACATTTTTAAAAAATCTTTAAAAATCTGTTGCAATCTTCTAATTCATTCCCCAAAAATTATTACAAATGGGATTTTTTCTTGAGAAATATTGATCATTCCAGACAATTACCAGAACATTAACTTTTACCATCACTTTTAAAAATTATTTTATACTTATTACTTGAAAAAAGACTAGATTGCTTCAATCATGATTTCCACTTTCATTTAAAAATGAAAAAATATAATGCTAGAGCAAATACAAAAAAAATTGCCTATCACTAAGATTCTGTCTAAATACAGAAACATGGTATCTATGATTAAAGCTTCTGAGATTACTAAAGTGATAAAATGATTAACACCATATAAAGAAGACATTAACATTTAATCAGTTTTAGTCTTCAAGCAAAAAAAATCAATCAATGGTATATTTTCATTTCATATTGGATAAAAAACTGTCAACCCTATAAGGTAGATCAGACTAAGAAACAGTTATATCAGTGTCTCTCAATCTCAGCAATTTTAAGATGTATGGACTTCAACTCCCAGAATTCCATATCCTCTATGCCAGGGGTAGACAACCTCGGCTCTTTTATGACTCGTGGACTTCAACTCCCAGAATTCCTGAGCCACCCCTGCTCTATACTCACTACAGAAATATAAGCTCATTCTGAAAACAGCTTCATATATAAAGAAAAAAGTTTTTGCTTAACCTCCAAATTCTGAATAAATATTTTCTTTCTACTTAGTCAGAATTTTATATATGTATAAATGGATTCCCATCTTGTAAATAAATTCAGACTGATTTTTCTACATAAAACTTTAGTAGCATTTTGACCGGTGGAATTTGGATGAAAAAGAGTTAATCCTAAACAATAAGATTTTAAGAGCATATAGATAATGGCAAATACCTGACAGAGTTCAGTTATTCTTAAAATAATTTTTTTAAAACTGATTTCTTTTTGAAAACTATAAATGGATCCAAATTTAGAGTTAGCAGAATTCTGTTTATAAAAGAAGAACAGGGTTTTTTTTGTTGACCCTCCTTTCCTTATGTAGTTTTCTGAGATTCCTAAAACAGATGGGACTGGAGTATAGAACTCTAAAATGGGGAAAATATTGGTAGGACCATAGGGGGGAAGGGACAATTTAGGAAAATCACAATTCCCTTTCATTCCTCCAGTACAGTGATAAATTTCTGCTCAACCTCAGTTCTCTCCACAAACAGAAACAGACCTTTTCCATGTGTAGAGAACAGTTTGCATCCAACCATAGAGCTCAAAGTTAATTCTCTTCAAAAAAAATTATTAACGCTGATAAATGGAAATGCTTTACAATTTCTGGTGGAATTCACCTACATTCTTTTGATAGGCCAGCAGGATGAATTTAAATATGGTATGGTTCAGCTGTATGATTCAGAAAAGTCCTCTTTCAGGGTTTATGAACTGACATTACAAGATGGTATATACTGAGAAGGGTAGGAGGAGCAGAATATGTGTTAAAGCAGGTTTTAATGGGTAATGCTCCTGGGTAAAAAATGGCAAACAAAAGCTACTCTTATGTCAACTTTTGTAATCCTCAGTTTCAATTTCAGTTTTTGGAAGTGGCTGTGATTATTCAATAATGACTGGAAAACTTTCAGTTACAATCCCAGCTAATAAGAAATAACAAGGGAGAATTATATTCAAATGGAATTTTAGAAACTGTTACTTGAAAGTCCAGTGTAAAATTCTAGCCATCTTCTCACCTGTCAAAGTAATGTAGCCTTATAAATTTGAAATATTATATTTCTGCTTCCAGAGTATAGTAACTCAGCTGAAGTAAAAATGTACTAGCTGTTAGAAAATGCTACTGTCACCGTTAGTTATCCAAATATGTTTTTATACCGAAGTCAGTATTGTTACATGTAATCATCTGCTGTGAATCAGAGTTTAAGTAAACTTATAGTACACCTGTACAATGTCCTGTATAACTTCATAATAAATTCTAATGTCACTTTTAATTTCTGCAATCACACAGTCTTTTCAAACCATAAGGAACCGTCTACTCAAAAATCTGTTGTAATAAAATAGAACTTTGTTGCACACAGCCCAAACAATTATATTTTCAACTTCATAAATGTATGTTGTTAAATAATGAAACTTAGAAATTTGCAGTTATTTTGTATTGCCTGAACATCGCATCCAGAGAAAAAGCTTGAGATGAAAAGACACTAAAGGGAGATACAGCAGGAAGAAAATTTTTTTAGTTAAGTATGTAGAAGTTACCTGGCCCCGTCACAGGCTGACTCTGTGCTCTAGCAGTGTTCCGTGATAGTTGTCATCAGAAATGAAAATAGCAAGACGGCAGCTAACAGGCCTATAGGAAACAAAGGGGGGAAAGTATGTTAAGGGCACACTACTTTTTAGCAGCTTCCAGCAAACTACTGGAGAGTTTTACTTATTTTTAAAAGATACAATATTCTGTTTTGACTATACAGTTTTGAAGATGATGAAAACTGAAGTGCAGCACAGCTGGAAAATACCACATTGTAGAAGGCTGCAATAAGTTTATGAACTTCACAGCTAGAGATTACATGAAAATAATGTGGAATTTTGCCTACCTCTAACAAAAATCTGAGCAGCACTTTCAATATTAATTCTACTCTGAAATCATTTACAGGTATACAGGCTAATCCAAGAAAGGTCAGATCCATGCAGATTATGTAATTAAAAGCAGTAATGTTCACATTTTAATTATACTCCACTCAAATGTTTCTAATCCATATGAATAACTCCAGGGCCACTTGTACTGTGTACAGATCTGACCTTTGAACAAAAATAACATGGTAACATTTAAAAAGCCTGTCTTCAAATGAAGCCATCATATCAAAAATAAAACTACAACCAATATATATAACAGTTCCCCAAACCAGAAAGGCAGCCCAACAAATGTTCAATTTAATTTTTTCTGCAAAGCCAGTCAGGTGGGAGTATTTCATAGGTTAATCTGTTGCATAAATTTCATAGGCTAATCTGTTGCATAAATTGGGACTATCCCCAGGGTCTGTTTTGAGGACGCCTCCACTCCAATTTCTCATGGCATGGGGACCATGAGGGACATTCTTTCTCAGGATGGCCTGATTGTAGCATGAAAATACTTAATCTGAAGGTAATGGGGATGAAGCTATATGTGGCTTAACAGATTGACCCCCACACTTGGAATTGGATGAGAATATTTATTAAATTATTCCACGGGTCTTTAAACTTGGCCCTTTTATGACTTGTGGACTTCAACTCCCAGAATTCCTCAGCCAGGCATGCCTGGCTGAGGAATTCTGAGACTCAAAGTCTACAAGTCATAAAAGAGCCAAGTTTGAAGACCCCTGGATTATTCCATTGCATTCTTCATAGGGTAGTTTTTGCACATTATTCAGAAACTGCAACAATCCCACAATATAGCCGTGTGTGTGTGTTGAGTGGTGCTTGCAAGATATGCCACATCACCTTTATCTTAAAAATAGGTACCAGTTACTGCTTGCCCTGGTTATAGGTTGTTGGGTTATTGGGAGACCCAATTCAAGATGCTTACTGTGGTATAGAAAGTTCTACATGGTTTTGATCCAACTCTTTACTGGACTGCTTATTCCCATATAGACTATTCCATGGTCTTCAATTCTCTGTGGAATTTATATTCTACCCCATCTGGAATATCTAAACATCTATGTTAATAGCACCTCCTTCATCATCTAGGCTTTACCATAACAAAGAAAGAATTTGGTATTGATGTCCATCAAATCTTTGTCTTTGGAACTGATTCCTTGTTATAGTTTAGGTGGAGACTTAAATTATTTCTTTTTAGCCAGATCTTTTAGAATTATTTTTCCCCAAGATTTTTCTGCTGCTTCTATTTACTAGTTCTTTATTACATACAAGTTTATAAGCTTACTAGTGCCATAAGATGGGAGAGGGTGGGTGTACATTTTAAATAAATAAAATTTACAATTAGTTTTGCAGATTTCAAATAAGGATCGGAGTTGAAAGAATTTATTAAAACATTTTCATAATATTTTCTTATTCCAACATCTTTATCATCACCTTCCTTGTTGTATATATAATCCTCATTCTCTTTTATATCCTATTTTGGAATGTTCATAACATCTTAGTTTTTTAACCTTTTTTAACCTTCTTCATGAGCAAATTCCAGGAAATGAAATTCCACACCTCGAAACCTTTCACGAGATCAGTGTAATGGTATGTGAGAATGACCGTGGGGTAGATAGCTGCTACCTAGGGAATAGTCAGATAAAAGAGGGCACAGCCCGCAGCTGCATAATGGGTGGAGAAAGATGCTCAGAAGGAGCCCCTTCCCCAAGTTTCCAGGCTATAAAGGAGATGGAGGGAGATTTGTACTTTCAGACTTGCAAGATTCTGTTAATGTAGGGTTAGGGTTTCTTGTTTAGCTGGGAAGGCTGACAAACAATGAGAATACAATCAGAATGGATAAATGTTAATATAAGAGATTGCTAATTGGTATGTTCAAAAACTCCAGAAAATCACAAATTCTGTCCCAAAATTATTTAAGTAGCTGTGGAAAACAGCAAAAAATTAAAGTTATGGAAGAAGTTATATAGTGTTGATTGTGGTATATCAGATATTCCCCCTTTCCAGAGTGATATGCTGTATTAAAAAGATAGCATTTAACCTAAAATAGTCCAATATCAATTATGGATTTCATTAGAATAAATGAATAGAATAAATCAAGTTTTTCTTGAATCGCTGGGGATGAGGTAAAGTCAGGCAGGTTTTAAATGAAATATGAATAGAATTCTATTCTGATCATTCCACAGATCATGGTTACATTCTTCTGCTAGTCAGTATTGTATGGCATTGCAAAGAGTCTTCTATCTGTACAGATATAAGGTAAAAGAAAGCTACAAATTGCTTAGAGGAAGACCAGTCCTATTGTCAGCCAGAAAAGGGAAGTAGCACAGAGATTATTCTAATAGTTTTATCAATGTGCCATCTTTAAGGGATTTTAGAGACAGTATGAACATAGAACAGGGGTAGGCAATCTTGGCTCTTTTATGACTCGTGGACTTCAACTTCCAGAATTCCTGAGCCAGCCACACTGGCTCCGGAATTCTGAGAGTTGAAGTCCACGAGTCATAAAAGAGCCAAGGTTGCCTACCCCTGACATAGAACAACAAGGTTGGAGGTCTTCTAATTCAACTCCCTGCTTGAGCAGGTGACCTTATATCATTCCAATTTCTTTTGTTCAATTTCTTTTTGAAAATTTTCACCCACAACTTCTGAAAGCACACTATTCCACTACTTAACTGTTCTCGCTGTCAGGAAATTTCTCCTTAACTCTAGGTTGGATCTCTCTTTAATGATCTTACACATATGTCTGGACTTCCAACCACCATCACAATCCCATGTGCTTAGAATCTATTTCAGACAACCTTCCAAATTTTCAGAAAATCGATAGGAATATTTCCTTCTGAAGATTTGAGAAATGCATCCCCACTGTTTCAGCCACATATTTGGACCCACACACAAAAAGAAATAACATAAATAATTTTTCACTAAGCAAATACACAAAAAATTTATTCGTACAACTGTTAAATTATCTGGCTTTTATGATTTCAATTAACTAGCAACTTGTTCCAAGAACAGATAAATGATTAGGATTTGATAACTACGATTAATGTTCATTCAACCCGAGATGATACAAAGTAATTACATGTAAACAGAAAAAAATGAATAGTATAATATTTCCTGTTCTACTGTTGGACACTATGTTGTAAATTGTGCCATATGTACAATTACAGTTATCCTGCTGAGCTAAAAATATTGGTGAAGATCTAAAAATGATGAACAGTGCCTTTTTTAAATTAATGTCTTATTAGTTGGGTGAAGTACACTGACAAAGAATAATTTATGCTTATTCAAACTGCTCTCGACATCTTCAGGTGTTTCCAAATGAGCTCACAGAAGAGTGATTAAATGCATCTGATAACAAGCCACACATTGCTGAAATTACTTACCGCCTCATTTTATGATTAATTAAACATGTAGATTAAAGTTGCAAAAGAATTTAGATTAATGAGCAAGTTAAGTCTTGCTGATATAAGTGAATTGGGAATTGGATGCTCTGTGGAACTTTATAAACATGTATTTTATAATGAGTAAGACAAGGCTACATGTTGAATCCTGGCCACAAGGGCCTTTGACGATGCAGTCTTTTTTAACATGGTTTGACAGCTTTCAAATAACATTCTACTATAGGCTTTAAACTTTGTGCATTGCTGTAAAACATGAGAATACATAACTCATGTATTAGCAGTACAATTATTTCCCAGCTCTCCAAGGTAATGACCCCCTGTAGCAGCAGCTGTTCAGAAAAATTATAGGCTCAATTGTTATTTTAATCAAGAGAGAGTTTAATAGTTAAAAGCAGTTATGTAACTAGTAAAATTATATGACACCTCATCACTGCTTTCACTGCTGCATCCTTTAGTCAAAAAGAAAAAGAAAAGAAACCTAGAAAGCTCCACAGCCTGGACTTATTAGTAAAGCTTGATACACAGTCATTCATAAAAAAAATATCAATGCCATTTACTAGTGTGCAAGCCAACATCATGTTCACATTTACAGTGATTCTTTATCAGTTCCAAAACATCTTTTTTTTTCTTTTTCTATAAATTTTATCTTTATTCTTAACATTAAAATATAGACTCTAAAAAAAGCAGAACAAAACTAGACTACACAAAAAAGTGCATAAAATGAAAAAACAGGACTAACTTATACATAAATTGTCCCCCCTCAGTATTTTCTAGGTTTGCCCAAAGACTCCATTTTTCTCTTTTACTTAAGACCAGTTTCCGTAACCCACATGGGTATCAGAAACTCAAGTTGGATTTTATGGTTTAGCAAAGCAAGAACCAATCAGTTACTCCAGTATATTTCCATATAGCAATTTAGTCCCAACAAAATGAAAATCCTAACAAAATGGCTAAAGCTTCAAATATCCAGAAAATGATGTTGCTTACTGCGCCTTAAGTTCATTCAGACCGAAGGCATAAAGTAAGAAATGCTAAATTCTAAATCAACCCTTACACAAATCTGAAAAATCACAATATTTTCAAATAAATCTTTGTGAATTCCTATATTAGAGTGTATGGATTGTTCACTTTTTTATTCAATGAAAATTTAAACCACACAATAGTCAAATCTTTCTGAGCACTTTATAAGTAAAACTCTCTAACAAGTTTACATGTTCCGTTATATCCTATTCAACTTCAGTGAAAAAGAGATTTTGGATTTTTAACATAATAAGCAAAAGTTTTTTCCACATTTATAATAAATGGTCTTTGA